TCAAATGCACCTTTTGTTGGCAAAGAATCACTCCACTAAACTGGTTGCTGATTTGTATTCATCTATATTGAACCATACTTGTCATTTTAGTTTTTAAAAAAGCACAAAGTAAAATTATGTTTCAGTCGACGTGCACCCTTGGTTATTCCCATCTTTGGAAGCAATTTTGTTCAGCTAATTAGCAAGGAAAAATAACATTAAATTTTACATTTTATCAATTTGCATAACGTAGTCAAGAATTAGGCCAAAAAAATATTATAAACTTTCTTCCAAATAATGGTTTTCACTCAAGAATAAGAATTATTAATTAAAGCTCACTAAAGTCTACTGCACGTAATACTTTGCACCACACCAGCATGTGTGAATGTATGGATAACCACATCGCCTTTATTCTACCTCGTTCAGTTTTTCAAATGATGGCGATTCCCCTGGAAATGAATTCTAAAGGACTAGTTTTAAGTTAAGAAAAAAAAAGAAAATTGTGGTCTGCTGTTCACTTTCCTTATAAAACATGACACATTTCAAGTCATAGTCGGGCAACAACGGCCATGGACAAAAAAGTGTGATGCACATGCAAAGTTGTTGTTTTTGTTAATTTAAACCTATTGTTGTTCATGGTCTCTTTTTTCACCATTGTATTTGGTTAAGCTCCCTACTCTTTCAAGGCCCTCTAAACACCTCTATTTCAAAGAGTTGTCCAAAGTTTAGAAATACTCTCACTTATGGGAAGACGTTCCATACTGTTCTCAGGGACACACTTGAGTGGCCGCAAAATTCCTATAGGACCAACCTTGTCCCCAGGGTGCTTTCCCTGGCTTTGGAGGTGGGGCAGGAAAAGACCCTGGCATCGGCTGGCCAATCCGTCATTTTGATTGGTTGATTGATTTAGGTAATTCATGTAACAAAATAGCCAATTGAAAATAATGTATGCATTATGGCAAAATCAAATGGCAGAAAGCATGTCCACTTCAATGAAGATTTCTGCAAGAAATCCAGTTTGCAAGCCATGTGGTGGTTCTCATGAGAGTCACTATGTGCTTCGAATATTCAGCAAGGCTGGCTGATCTAAGGATCTGTATTGAAAAGTATATAAAGACCTGTGGCATTTCTGAGAACAATACAAAGGGCAGCAGTGTTATGTAGGGGTGGCGTTACATTCGTAGACAAAATGGATCAGTTTATTTGGAGAGCTCAATCTGTACGTTACGCGATGCATAATATAATAAAGTCATGCGTTCAACTTTCACCGCCATCTTCGCATCAGCCATTGAAGCATCTATCAAAGGATATGCCACCCAAAAGCTTTGATGTGGATGATGCAAGAGCATTTTCTTTGACCTTTTTTGAAGTGTAGGGCTTTTTATTATGGTTCAATAAGGGTTGTAACTTTCTCCAAAGTACCTTTTGGATGTGGATAACTAAGTGATTTTCTTTAGTCCTTGAATGCAATGTTTCTATGCAATTTTGTATCACACTGGGCCCAACTTGTTAGTTTTCTTTGCAGGCATGTTAAATTATCACAGATAGTGATTTACAGGTCCAAAATTATAAGAATGAAGTGCAACTTAAACTGAAGCTTCATCAACTATGGATAATTGTATTGCCACTTAATAGATTCCAGCTTAGTGTTTTCCTTAAGATAATATGAGTCTTTTGACTGGAGCACATATTTCCTTCCTTGGTAATAGCTTTTGAATAATAAAGCTGAACAACTTTGGTTGTTCTAGCTTTATCGTGGCGAGAACGGAACAGACATGAAATTGCCAGATCCAGTTGGTAAGACTCCAATAACATCCTGACCTTTCAGGATGGATTTGAAACATTTTACTTGAAGAGGTTTAAAATTAAGCGATGGAAAGTTACTGTTACTCAGGAAAAATCCAACCCAGTAAAGCACTGATAAAAACTCTCGCCTATGAGATTGTATACTAATTTAGTACACCCACAAATCCTGGGTGTTTGCTGGTCATGTGACCCGCCAACACCAGGGCCTTTTCCCACCCCACCTCCCAAGGCCAGGGAAAAGTGCCCTGGGGACGAGGTTGCTATAGGACCTGTAGCAGGTCATTATAAAAATCCCATATTACCTTTCGGTCTTGGCTTAAACTTTTTGCTTTTCTTCTGGCATTGTTTTTTGAAATAGCTGTATATGGATTAACTTGCATCAAGCTCGCATGGAAGCGGCAGGTTGGTAAAGCAGGTACAGTTCTTTATTGCTAAAATTCAATGATTTTGATCGATCAAACAACATTTCATTGTAAAATTAAATCAAAGACTACATGTAAGCTTATAGCTCTTTAAAAAATGGGCACTTAGTGGTTACTATCGAATTTCGATCTTGCAAAACTTCATTTTGATTGATCAAACATTATTAGAAATAAATCAAAATTATCTACGCTAGAAATTTTTCTCTTTGCTGTGTTCAGCTACGGTTTACTCAATTTTGAAATTAATAGAATCGACAAACCAGATATGATATTCTATAATTCAATCGGTTTCAGTACACAGTATAGATTTAGGTGTTCTATGGTTACGTCTTTGCTTGTTGTTGAAATAATCAATGACAAAAGCAATGAAATATTGACATATACTTTATTTACTCTTTCTCTTTTCAAAGGAGATGAACTTGATCATAATCAAATAAAGTGCTGTTGGTGAAAAACTAAAAGAAGATGGCGGAAGTTTGTCTTTGAGGTACCCGCATTAGAGTGACAGTAAAATCAGAATAAAGATGATCTTACCCATGGGAAGATCTGAGTTTTCGTCAGGGTTGTCACTAAGATTTCAAGTTGCCGGGTAAATACAACAAGTAGGTGGGGAATCAAACCGCTAGGGATTTCTTTTGGTTCTATTTTTGTTCTATTTTCCAATAAAAGTACCCGGGGGCCACTCTCTTAGTACCCGGGGAAAATCCCCGGCCCCCGGCTCTTAATGACAACCCTGTTTCATTCAATCCTTTGTAGCGATTAAGCATGAACAATGATCACTTCAAGAATCAAAACATCCTGGCATAATAGTAGTATTCCAACCAACCTGTTCCCTTCCTCTTCATATAGGGTTTTATTTCAAAGTTTTGCCCTCAAAATATTAGTTTACTACCTAAGATTGTGGCTGAAGCTCATGCCTAATATAAAGGAAAAGAACACTTGCTACAAAACTGTTTGACACATTACATTGTTATGCAGTCATGACCAAGTACACCCCTTTGGAACTTCAAGTCTTTCCAGTCTGATTTGCCAGCTGGTAGTATTTTTTCCATTTATTCATCATCAAAGTTCATATGGGCTGTAGTGCCATTATTACATAATGCACATTTTCCCCTGTATCCGTTAGAGCATTAGTTGTATCCATTAGAGGTGTTAGTCAATTTTTAACTCATGCATATCCGTCAGAGCATTAATCCAGGAAACTAAAGCATTAACTGACAATTCTATTGCTTTTCTGATCAAGGCTGCTTTCCCCGTTGTCAGAGGTTTCTATGATTAATTTTATTCACCTGCGGGCGACCGAAATTATAAACAAGGAGCCCGCATTGTGCACCTGAAACTAGTGATTCTTGCCAAACCCGTTTCCCAACGTCCAGTGAACAAACGACACAATTCCCTTCTCGTTCTACACTTTTGAAGCGAAAATATCAAATGTTTGGTCGTCGGCTGTAGGCAAAAGATACTGACGATAAGAAGTACACAAACAAGCACGCGTCTTGAAATCTGCTTCCCTGCAGACTTCTACTAATTGATCTCAAATGAATTGAATGGCTGCAGGAAAACCTTCGGTGTAAAAGTCATGACCTTCTTTCCGCCTTTTTGCCTTTAGAAACGTTGCTGTTATATGTATTTTTAAATAAAAAGATGCAAGCAAGCAAGATCCATTGTTGGTTTGAAATTTCACGTGACATACGCAACTTTTTCTTGCATCTACAACTATTGATCAGATTGTTCCGTTTTCGATCTCGATACGAACGGTACACTCAGTTCACTCGGAGATTTCTTAGATCATTTATTCAAGTTGTATCTATGTCTTTCTCCCTTTTTGGTCATTTTTTTAAAAGATAGACTCCATGTCGAAATAAGACAACTTTTCGTTCTGCTACACAACAGTTCTTTGTGTCGTCACGCAATGCTCCACACAAAGAATGGCTGTGGCTGTGTGGCAGACTTAGCCAAGTAAATGTAACCTTCCTAAAACTTAATTTCGATTGAATGCCGCTTTAATTTCATGTGGGGGCCGCTCATCGGGGCTTAAAGCGGCGGCGGAAAGAGACAAAAAATAGATAAGAGAATATCGCAATATCACTGCAGCTTGCGTTCAATAAACAACTAAACTGTCCCCAAGTCCCAAGCGGAATCGGCACGCAAATGCATAATTTCCATGACAACAAATGCCGCTTTAACTGGTGTGCACTTGTTTACTCACATGCATTACACAAAAGTGACAAAGTCTGGCAGACACCCAAAGTATAGTAAGAGAAGAAACTCCTAACGCGGTAACCGAGAGAGCTAAAAAATTCCTACATGAAGGCTGTGGATGTTCGCGTGGTTCAAAAGGGGGTCCCTGTTCAAGAGAATTTAGAGAAGAAATGGTGCTATTTAATCTCAATAACTGTCTCTAGTTGACAAGTGGAGAGCTCAACTTAATAATTTAGCCAACATACAAGCTTTATTAGCAATGACTACGTTGGAACTAAGAGAAACAGAACTTCAAGATGCACGTATCAGTTTCAGTCTGTCCTGATTTGCAAAGAGATGTTTCTTCACCTTTATGGTATAAGTTATTCCTGACTTCGTCAACTCAAGGAACATTACAAGACACATGGCATCTATCCGCGAACCTATGGAAACACCAGAAGCCTTCCCAGTAACACTCTTCCCCAGTCAACCACAGAGAACATTCATAATCTTCTAAATAATTATATAGAAGAGAACGCAATTGTTCTACCTGGGAGAATACCTGGATTCAAGTCCAAGGATGAAAAGGTGTGGTCTTCGAGCGAAACAAAAATGAGTGTTTGGCGTGTGTACACTGCCACTTGCGAGACTTCTGAAGAACAATCCGTTAGCTACAGCAAATTCATCGATCTTTGGCAGCAGTTTTGTCCAAAAGTTGTTGTGGCAAAACCATTGACCGATCTGTGCTTTACGTGTCAGCAGAATACAACCAAACTTGTACAGGCCGCAAACCTTCCTGAGCACGAAAAGGCTGACCAGTAAAAGTCCATAAAGAACATTTGGACTGCGCCCAGAGTGAGAGAGACTTTTACAGACAAACTTGTTTAGATTCAGCAGCGACTTTCAAGCAAATAGAAGAGGAAATGAATTTGAACAAAGAACATGAACCGTGTTCATTTAATGGCACCATGCATTACTCTTTTGATTACTCGTAACTAGTCCACTTTGCAAGCAACCCCATGCAACCCAGGCCGATCTATTTTAAGACCCCTCACAAATGTGGAATTTTCGGAGTCATGTGCGAGGGTGTACCCCGTCAAGTAAACTATTTAATTTACGAAGCTGCAACTGTTGGTAGGGGGGCCAATGCTACAATAAGTTACGTTCATCACTTCTTTTCACGTCATGGTCTGGGGGAAACTGACGTTCATTTACATGCTGATAATTGTGTGGGACAAAAAAAACAAAAACAAAAACAATTACTTTTTATGGTATTTAGCATGGCAGACTGCAACTGAACTTCATCATAATATAAACTACTCCTTTCTCATTGCTGGACATGCTAAATTTGGCCCAGATCATTGTTTCGGATTCTTAAGAAGTTGTTCAAAGTCAGTTTTATTTCTTCACTTTATGAACTTGCCAGAATGGTGGACACGTCAAGTAACGCAGGAGTCAACAAAGCTCAACTGGTAGCCACTCAAGATGGCCGAGTCACAGTACCTGTATATGACTGGAGCACTTTACTGGGACAGTATTTCAAAAAACTCCCAAACATTAAAAAATTTCACCACTTTCAATTTTCAAAGGATGAACCAGGCGTCGTCTACTGCCGAGAGTTTTTGTCATCTCTGGAAAAGCTTTTTTTTCACTAAGGAATGGCGTTGCTATCCCTCCAGGTTCAGTGCTTCCACAAAAGATCAACCCAGAAGGTTTAAGCGAGGAACGTCAAAATTACTTGTATCGCAAAAATCAGGCAGTTTTGTAAGCCTGGAACGAAGACTTAGCTGCACCAGTTCTATGATCAGTGATCTTTATCAGCTGTTTGATATCTCTGTAGATGTGACTTTTCATGATTCAATCGCACAGTGTAAGAGAATTAGGATTATTACTGCAGTTATTGAGTATATACACCGGTCGTACTCACTGAGGTAATAAGACAATGAAGTTCTACTGAATTTTTTTTTTTGGGATATTTTCTGTTGTTTCTTTTAGCAGTTAAGTTCAGTTAACAGTTCGGGAGTATGCCAGTTTTGGAAGAAGCGATGACATCATGATTTCATTGTTCTGCTAAAAATACGCAAAAATGGGAAAAAACAATCGCCAGAAACAAGGGCGCTTTTTTCAAAGCCTGTTCCAGGTCCACTTGTTCAATATCCGGGACTTCCGAGCTAGCAGTGCTGATGAAGAAGCCTTTTCCTTGCTTTTTGAATGTCAAGAGCAGTTTCGTGCCACATTATGGTAGTTAAAATCGACAGTTATCAAACAGCGTTCGAAGACGTCGCCGCCATATTGACGGGCATCGAATGTAAGTACATGTCTTTATGTTTAGTTTTCAGTATCTTGCCGAATTTTTACGAAATCAAGACTAATTTTCCTCAAAACTACAATGTGTAAGGTGTGTTCAGGCAAAGTTTCATTGATGGTAACAACCTAGTAAAAATGGTAACCACATATTGAAACTTGCCAACAGACAGGAAGGGTTACTATATTGATGGTTATGCCTCAGTCTGTCCATGTATTTTTAGTTATAGGCGATCAAGTCTGTTTTTGGTTTTGTTCACCAGCAATGTATGTGACTCTGATCTAGAAATCACTTTATTGATCCAGATCATGTGTGTGGAATGAGTTTTAAATCAGTGTGAGTAGGTTCTTATATTGAATTCTTATATTTTGATCAGGATGTTCGTCCAAAATGTAGACAAACATGTGGACATATTACAAACACGTTGTCGTGTTTGTGCCAAAAAGCTGGAAAAAGGAACGAGGAAGACATGCAAATGTTAAATATCTTCAGAACGACATATTTGTGCTCTGAGGGCAAAATGTTGCTTTAGATTCGCCTCATGTTACTCTGTAATAAAAAATTTAATGTCCAAATTCAACCCTACCTCAGTAAAATCAAACATGTGTTTTTGTTTCTTTGTAGTACAATACAATACAATAGTTTATTGACACTCCCCTGGTGGGGCTTTTCAGTGACAATGCGACTAATAAAAAAAAAATAAAAAAAACTAATTAAGATAAGAGAAGTAGTTAACAATTCAATTAAAAGGAAAGAATGCGGTGAACAAAGCAATATAAACATACCTATTTAAGAATTAATCGTATAATAAATATTCTCACTACGTACTATACAATATGCATATTTTAAGTTAAAATAAAATAAGATACTAGTAAGATACTAAAATACTATCATAACGTGCTATTTAAAAAGTCAGTAATCAACTTATTTTTCAGACAAAATTTAACAGTAGAAATCGATTTTGCAGTTTTAAGAGTACTGTCTAGACTGTTCCAAATGTGCACCATGTGGTAGTGGAATGTTCTCTGTCCGGTACTCGACTTATACAAGGGGATGTTTAATAACTGGCAACTTCGAGTCACATGCCCGGTGACCGCAATTCTTGTTGTAAATTGATCGCTGAGGTAATGTGGAGCTTGACCAGTCATGCATTTAAATGCCATGAGAGCGTCGCGGAAGAACAGCTTTTGTTTAATTAGAAACCAAAGTAGATCTCTTAGTGCGGGGGTTATATGATCAAATTTCCTGGTACCTGTGATAATGCGCGCAGCAAAGTTCTGCACTGACTGTAGTCTACAGATATTTTTGTTCGAGGTGTTCGACCACACTGTGGAACAGTACAGTAATTTGCTAAAGACTAGGGCATTTATTACTGTCATCAGTTGGTTACGGTCAAGAAAATGTTTAACCCGACTGATTTGTGCAAGGCTTGACATACAAGATGACGTAGTTTTTACAACATGGTCATCAAACGTTAGTTGCGGATCTAAAACAACCCCAAGATCTTTGGCCGAAGATGTAAGAGCGAGATGTTTTCCTAGAAGAGATATTTTGAAGTCGGGGAGTTTGGCAAGTAGTTGTCGGCTTCCAAAGACTACGAGTTTTGTTTTGTGTGGTCACAGGCTTACCTACCACCACAAAAGCCCCTCCTCCCTCTCAAAAAAGGGTAAGAGGGAAACAGGTTGGAGGGGGGGCTTATATACCTTGTGAGTGGAAGCTCACACTCAATGACCATTCAACCATAGAAGAGACTGTGGCCCTTATTCAAGGGGCTTTAAAGGAGATAGATGAGGAAGGAGTCATGGAAGTGGAGGCTTGTGAAGATTTTCTCCACATAATGTTCAATCCCTTGCGTCAAATATTGTTTATACTTTACAAATGCCAAATACATAATAGGTTTAGTCCCTGTGCTGTGCTAAGGTCAATCTGAAACAGGAAAAATGCGACACTCTCCCCCATCAATACCTTTGCATGAGCAGTAAGCCCACATTTTATGTCATAATATTAGATATGTTTGTATTTGAATAAATCCTAAATTATTGAGATTCTCTCGATGAAAAAGCATCTATATTAATGTATCGTCTTCAACAAATCATCCTCCCTAATAAATAATACATGAGAGACATCTCACAAGATAACTATTGAAAACATATGTCAGCTGCTACTGTCTTCATTATATCAATTAAGCTTTGGTTTTTGGTTTTCATGTCCAAGAAGGTGTTAAAAAAACAAACTTTTGAGATATAAGAGTGTGTATAATATGCGAGCCAGCGATCCATGGCAGCGAGTCATGCAGGTCAGATACGACTCATTGAAAATAATACATAAAAATCAAAAACAGTAATCTGGTAATACTGAAAGAATTAACTGAAAGCTAACCATGGTAAATAAGTGTTTAACCCTAAACAGCACTTAATCATAACCCTAACCCCAACCTAAACCCTAATCAGTAAAAAGAATGCTTATCTGTTATCTGTAAAAAATTGGCAGTTTTTACTTGTTTTTACTTTATTTTCGCTGATGGTCTGCGTGACTTGCATAGCTCCCTTGCTTGTAGTTTATGTGAGGACCAGAAATAAAATGTTTATTTACAAAAAACAAAATGTAACAATAAAATTAATAACTTTTATAATTGTATCTTTACTCTGATGTGTGAGCTTTGTTTTCTTGAAAGTGCTGTTCAATAGAACCATGGAGAACTATGAAAAAGAACTTTGGAAAACTTATGTTGTGTCCATGCCAAGTGCAGCAATCATTATTATTTTGGGCCAAACCTTGTCTAATAGAATTGTTTGGAAGTTCCCACAGAGAAGACTTGGAGAAAAGTGCTCCTCAAAGTTACAATGCCTTTGGTTTGAAGGCAACCCCAGAGTTATTAGAGTTATTAGTATTATTCGGATATACATCAAATCCCATATAAGAGGATATTTTATAACAACCCATAACCCTGTTGATATCTGACCTCTGGTCAAATCCGGTCGACTACAAGACTATAGTATCCCATTTTAATCAATATACCCAAATACCACAGGCATTCTTAGTTTCATTCTCAGTTTTCCAATATGTATATTAAATTCTAAAGAGTCTCTTGCATTTGTTAAGCTTGAGCAAATAATCAGTGAACTTCAGACAGTGGAATAATTGAAAGCAGTAGGTTTTTTAAGCGGGACAAAGAAAAAATGATCAGGGATGATAAGCAAGGTTTTCACTTTGTGGGTTTTCAAGAAGAAAACGCGGACACAATACCCTCAGAAATCCCTTGTAAACCTGGACCGAACCGCTTCAGGACATACACCAACAGAACGTCATACTCGAAAAAAACAAATATTTTACTCACAAATGACTCGCTTGCACCAAAACAATAACCTGAATTAAAGCTGTCTTCTTCTCCGGCCAGTCGCTCACTCCCCGAGAGGGAAACAGAAGCAACGGGAAAAATTACTGTAAAACTTACTCTTTGCAAACATAAGGAAATAAATTATAGAACAACTCACTTTTTTAGTTGTTTCCAAAGCATTCTTTTTTCTTATGATATAAAAAATTAATGAAAGAAATAGGCACAAACTTGCTAGCGTGCTTACCTATTTTCAATGTACTGATTACATACACAGTGAGTACGAAGTGCCTACAAAGCGCGCAATAAGCGAAGAACTATAGCGCAAGAATGGTTACTCCTTGTCCTCAAGGTACTTCCCAATTCATAGTAAGGAGAAGACAAATAAAAGGTTCGATGAAACAAGAATAAACGAGAATTTCTGTCAATACTCTTTCCTCTCGCTTGTCCGCCATTTTGTATGTTTTGAAAATTGCCATCGCCATGGTGATCATGTTATGGTTGGTGACATAGACTATTGTTTTCGCTTCTTCCAAAACTGGCATACTCCCGAACTGCGATTACAGATAAGGGTACACTATTACAAGTTCTGACAGTTCTAAGACAAAAGGAAAATTTATAGGCATCTTTCATTGAGGCAAGTTGGTGAAATGGTGCACAATTAGGAGATCTTGAAGCACTTTTATTAAGAGATATTTCAGGTGGTAGGGAAATACCAACATGCCCTTTATAGGTCTTGTAAAACATGAACACTTGGTTGATCAATTTTTCAGGTAATCGGGCTCAACGGTACTATTAAGTTCGATTGAGTTTGCGAGCATAATCAAACAATACTCT